TGGTCCGCCTTAAAAAGCGCAACGCGCCTCCCGTCTTCTTTGCAACGCCCTCCTCGAAGCTCGCGAGCTTGAAGCTCAAGCAGAATGCTCAGCCCAAGAGCCATCCGGTTTCGGCCTTCGGGAGGGGGGACAAGTTTTGAGTCCCAGATCAAGCGCCAGGAAAATAGACAACCGACTAGCAGCGTTGACAGCCTGGAGAGATCAACGATCTGTTTTTTTGGCGGATCTTTGCAGCTTGGAATTCTGATAATCACCGAAATTTGCGCGAGTCACAGTCAAAATCTGGGTCAAAGGTCAGTCCCTGGCAATAGCGGCTGCTCTCTAGTGTCTTGCTGTTTTTTGGGTAAACTGTAAAATACGGTTCTGATTGTGACTCATGGGTGTCTGTTATTTGAGGGTACCCTTTTAAAGGTTGGCTTACCTGTTTTTGTCACCGTATTTGGAGACAACCCCTCATGTCTGCGTGCAGGGTCAATGCTGCTGTGAGCCAGTGGCCAAGCTCGGAGATTCGCACTCAGGGGTGCGATGAAATCCCCACAAAGTAATTCATGGAGGGGGGGGGGGGGACGTAGCACGGCGTGGTTCTCCTACGCTTCTCCCAATGGGGGGAGGCACTTCAGAGATGAATAGGAGTAACTGGAAGAACCGCGGCAAGTCGGTTGGCCCTTTCCTAGTGCTTGACCACGTTTGAGCAGGCCCCAAACCCCCTATCGGCTATTTTAGTAGGTGGCTCTACTACCGGGTTGTTGTAGAGCCGTTGTTATATATATATATATATACACGCACACACAGCTTTATACCCACCTCAGTAGAAGCAAAAGTCAAAGGGCTTTGGTAGCGAGCTGGGTCAAGTGGCCGTTGGCTCCAGGAGCGGGACATTTTGACCTCCAAGCTCCCAGATCCAGGCGGCACAAAAAGGCAGATCCATTTGAAGCAACCCGTCTTTCTGGCAGGCATCTTTGGAGAGGCCATTCCATGCAGAGTATTGACGGTGCACAGGTTGCCGCAACCAACTTTTTAGATTTGAGTCTGCAGTTGTGTTTTTGTCGGAGAGCGAGCGCCCGCGAGCCTGTGGATATGGCGCGGCGTAGCTGGCTGCTGCTCTTGCCGCAGACCCAGACTGTGGTTGGGGCAAAGCCCCAGAGGCAACAACAGCCATTTTTATAGATTGTGGATATTGTGGCTCAAAATAGATGGTTTGCGCTGGTTTCATGGTTTCTGCTTTGGCTCGAATCATTTACCGGTGGAGTTTATCGATGTTTCTAAACGGACACCTAGGAACCAAGGCCCTTGGCTCGCGGACTGGCACTGGCGCGTGCGTTGGGGTGGATGCCCTAAATATTGCAAGGGGAACGGGTTGCAGGGATCCTTACATGTCGCCCTGTTTGGACGATTCACACATTACCTTCCAAGGGCCAGTGGAAGATTCGTTTCACTCCTTTCGGTATGATGTTTCAAGCACTACTGGGTATGTGTCGCAATAGGAGAACCTCAAACGCGGCGGCTTTTCTTGTGCTTCACAAGGCGGAACGGGTACCGAGCCTCTAACAAAAACACGCACCCATATGCGTGTGTCTTGTTTGGTACCCTTTTTGGGATGTTAAAGGGGAACAGAAGGAACACCACCAGGTTTGAAGATCACCAATTTGGAGACAAGCTCCCATGAGTCGATCTTTTTCAGAGAGCACCTTTTTTTTGGATGGTAAAGGGAAATCAACAGGACACCCGAAGCCATTTCGGGGTGTTCCCTAAAAACTGAAAAACGGAGACACCCCATGGGGTTGGAGGTTTTTTGGGTTGGACGTAGGGTTCCAATTCCAGGCATAGGTGTCCTTTTTGGTTGGGTTGCTTCAAAAACAGAGGGCGATTCCTGGTTTAGATGGGGTTTATTCTATGTACCAGGGAAACCCATCTAATATTTGAAAAGGCCACCTATGATTCCAGGCCGATTCCCATGTTTGAGCCACGCCCATTTCCAGCGAGGCTTGGCACCAGCCTTTGCCTTAGCTTCGTGCGGTCCCCGGGCTCGACGCGACGGACGCGAACTCGGACCACCCGGCGCGCCTCGGGAACCACGCAGACGGTGCTGGATGCTTTGAAGGAGAGGCTTTGGGTCTACCCAACACCTACCCCAAAATCGGTGGGTCCATTTTGAGGTACCCCCCAAAATGGATCTCGGTTTTTCCCTTTAACTTCCCTTTAAAACCACAAAAAAAGGGGTACCCCCCCCAAATAACAAACAAAACACAGACTAAAAGACAGACCCAAACGGCCATTGCAGTGGGCGGCTTTACTACCTGGTTTGGGGTCTCCTCCAAGAACTCGTTTATGTTTTAGGGACCAAATATTCAAAGGCGCGTCTATAAAGCCAAGCTCAGTCGCGATGATAGGAGAACACCGTTTGTATTGTTTTCTCCCCTTCAGTTTTCGGTGCCAGCATCGTGTTGAGGGGAAGAGCGGATATTGGGAGAGACCTGTCCTGCAACAGCCAATGTCAGACATGCTCGTGAGCCGTTGTGCCATTGGGAGTTGAACAGATGGAGCGCGACAGGTGGGGAAGAGGAAGTCGAAGTTCCCTGTGTGAATTTGTGTTGGCATCGCAGCACCATCCTCGGCCCCATCAAAATTGTCGATCCAAAACCCAGCCAGCAAAACGGGGCCAAGGAGCCCAAAAACTGGAAGGAAGCCGCGAAGACAAATGAGGCGAGGAAGCTCGAAAAAGGGGCGGGTGAGGAAGCCACCAACCAACTAACCAGACACACAAGCAACAAACCAGCCAAACACCAGGAAAAAAGCACTTGCCAACCCAAAACACCAAACCAACCAACCAAGCAAGCAACCAACCAACCAACCAACCAACCAACCAGCCAAACAGGGCACCCAAGGGCACCCAAGGGAACAAATCAAAGCAACAACAAGCCAACCCAGCGGGACGGACGCCGCCCGTCTGGTAGGAGTTTGACGGCAGCTTCCAGGAGCCCTTCGATCTGCTGGGCATCGATGACCCCGAGTGCCCCAAGAGCGACATCCGCGCCGCCTTCCGGAAGGTCGCCAGGCGGAGAGGGAGCGCACGCCGCTCAGTCGTCGGGAGGTTTTTTTTGGGGGGGTTCAGTGACTGAGCTCATGTGGCTGTGGTGGTCAAAACCGTTTTGGTGGATCCCATTTTGGTTGGTAGGTGAATTCACCACCCATTTTGGAACCTATTTTGGTGGGGACTGGGAGGTTCACTGGGGGTACGATTTCGATTTTGACCCATGGCCATGTGTTGGACCCCCAGAATCGGTGAATTGGCCTTTTGGTTGCTGCCAAATGGCATGGAGTCGAAGCTCGTCTGTTGGGATTTGGATGGTATGGGTCAACATTATTTTAGTCACCACCATATGGACAAAGCAGGTTTGAGTCCACTTGCTTCCCTTTGTTTTCCCATTTTCGGGTTCCCCTATTTTTGACCCACACCCTTTTGAGGGATTATTGTGGGGTGCCTTCCATTTTGAGACAACCCCAGTTGGACCCCTCGGCTCAAGGTGTTCAAGCCATTTCCCTTTGGTAAGGGAACCTCCAAACGTGGCGATCGTTTCAGTGGAAATCACCTGTACATTGAGATCAACTTTTGACTTGGGGAATTCCGGTGGACCGCTCTGATGCGAAATGGCTTTTGTCCAGCCACAGTACCTCCAAGACCCCCAAATAGGTGGTGTTGCTTTGAGGGGACGCGCTCAAATCCAGCTTCCTGGGCGGTCGGCAGAAACTCCTGTGTGGCGGTTTTGTTTTGGCTTCTCTTGAAAAAAGAGGTTCCTCATTTCAGATCCTCTTTACTTTTTAGGCCCCAGGAAGCAAATCTATGGACCACAACATGGGCGGGCTGCTTACCCCCGGCCTCGACGGATCGCAAAACGAGCTGTGCGGGTTCCACGCCCAGCTTTCGCAGGGTAGAGCACCCCGACGTCTCCGCTTTCGACGCCCCTGGCTCAGCGTGTGACATAGGCACGTGAGCCTGCCATCGGAATCCGGGCTGTGGGAAATGGAATCCACTTCTGTGATACAGATAGGGCCGAACCCCAAAGACTAACCCTTCAGAAAAAGGGGAAGATTCCCAAAAGTATCACAGAAGTGGGGATAATCTCCGAATGATCCCACAACCCTGATCGGAATCGCCAGTTGATGTTTGGTTTCTCCCAGCTGATACTGTTCTTGGGCAAAGTGTCAGAGCGCAGCAACTTGGCGGATTTGTTTCAGGCTCAGAACAAAGCGCAAATCAACGTAGGGTGCAGGGTGGTTTTTTGCACGGAAACCAAAGGAAGCAACGCAGTTTTGTATGTCCCGCATTTGACACATACCTGCCATTGTTGATTGCAAATTGTTATTGCAAGTTCTGCCTTCCAATTGTGGCACACAAGAAAAGAATACCGAGACCGAAGGGAGCCCTGTGGACCCATAGGACTCTATTGCTGGGATTCCTTGTGATAAGCGCCCCAGAAAATGCGACATTGCGTCAAAAAGGCCAAACCTGGGATGTTCAAACCAGCCAAGGAGGGAACACCTAATGACCCCCCTGAAAGCCCAAGTGGCTAGGAAATTTAAGACAATTTGCAAAGCAACCCCGAAAAGGATCAGACTTGGCCATGGGTTTCTCTGTAAACCAATATGGCCATGGGTCAAAATCCAAATCGTACCCCCAGTGAACATCCCAATCCCCACTAAAATAGGTTCTAAAATGGGTGGTGCACCTAAAATAAACTAAAATGGGTGGTGAATTCACCCGCTGGTTTTGACCCACAGATGACATGGGCAAAGTAAGCCGCAGTGGCCTAGCCTGAAGCATTTCTCACACTGACGCTGTTCCGAGGATGCCGAAGAGCGTGCCTGGCTCAGCGAAGGGAGGGGCGTTTCCAGCTGAACCCGCCAAAAGTTAACACTTAACTAGGTCCCCCAGTATTTGCCCTTTTACCCTTTTTTTGGGAGGGTTCCCCTACTAAAATAGACTACATTAAAAAAAGGGTACCCTGATTCTAACCTCTCTGCGGGAGGACCTAGTTCAGCTTGGAGCTTAGTCTGCAGCCCCAACTCAGTGGCTTTCAATTGGGGCCAGTGGTTTTCATTGGAAATGGTTCTGAATTTTAGGACTTGGAACCTTATCCCCCGTAAACGATGTCTGCCGAGGGTTCCTAATGAGAATTCAGACCCAAGCGAGCCGGTGATGGAGGAGAGCAAGGAACAATCCCAGCCATGAATGGGTGCGGAACTCCGCCTTTGTCATTTTTGACATGGTTCTGGGTCCCGACCTATTGTACCGATCGGTTTTGATTGTGAACGCACACGCACACATTTTTTTGACAGAAGGAGACTCCAGCTGCTCCTTTTGACGATTTGATGGCAGAGACAACCACATGCCAGCAGGGTTCTCTTTTTTCGACTACCCCAAGGTAGACTTAAACCCAGGGGTTGATCTCCCCAGAGGGGAACATTCTGGGTTGAAGTCTACCAAAAGGGTAGTCGACGCATGGAACCCTGCAACCACATCCCGAAAAAAGCATCCACAGCTCGCTGCGATCGATCCCGCTTGCCCGCGGCGCCTCGGCCAAGGCTTCCGCCGCATCTCCTTGGCCTATGAGCTGCTCATCGACGACGGGGGCCGAGCCATGCTGCTGGAGGCGCGGAAACGCTTGAGCCAAAGGCCGAAATGAGTTTGAGACGTGGCTGTGCGTCAAAACCAATGGTACCATTTTGGGTACGGGATTTTGACCCATGGCCACATGGCTTTTTGGTTTTGTTTCTTTAGCACCACGAGAAGGGTAGTATCAAAAGAGGCTTGGTACTAGAACTGGAACGGCTTTGGGCCCCCCCAAACTTGGGTTTCGGTCTTGTTGCTGCTGGTTAAGGCATAACCAACCAAAAAGGCGGGGGGGGGGGGGGGGCCAACCAAAAAAGCACAACCCAAATGGTTGACCATGCAAAAAACGAAGTTGGCGCTCGTATTTTGTGTGGGGGACCGGATGCCCCCCGAATCCGAAGGTCATTTGGAGGAGGTCACTTTGCGTCATATCGATCATGGATTCCTTTCGATGCGAACCCCCAACCACCGACGGGTCTTGCAAGACGCGGTATATTTAAGCCATGTGGTTCTATATCCAATTTTCGAGAGTTTTTTTTTTTTTTTTTAAGGAGCGATTTAGCCACACTGAAGGCAAACCTGAAAATGGTGTACCCTTTACGCCAACCTGAAAAGGGTACCCTCAACCCCCCAAAAAACATACCCTGAAAATGGAAGCCAAGCATTTTCCGGCCCGCCATTTTAAGACACATCGTCACATACCCATACCCATACTTCTCTGGTGCATCTTGCTTGGATGTTAGGACTTTAACTTTTTGCCAACGAATGGGTGTTCCATTAAACGACTAAAAGTTGAACTTTTGGCAGGGAAAGCAATTACTTGCTTCCTTGCGCTCGGTAGAGAAACCGCCAACCAGGCGATCGAGAAGAAGGCAGACGACCTGGAGGAGACTCGGCTGGCGGCTTGGGGGCTGCTCTTGTTTGTGAGACTGCTTTTGTTGTAGGTATTATTAATATTATTTGTTTAGGGGCACCCCCAAAAAATGGATTTCGGTAGTTTGCTTTTGTTGTATTTGTTTTTTTGTGTTTAGGGGCACCCCCCAAAAAAATGGATGTCGGTTTTCCTCTTCGGTCTTTCCTTTAACAGAACCCCCGAGAGGGGATCCCCTCAAAGAACACAAACCCAAGTGTTCCCTGGGGTTGTGTTGAAGGGCCGCTGCGAGGCCCTGAGCCACAATCAAAACCGAGAAAAACAAGCAACCATATTGGCTGTGGGTCAAAACGAATGGTACCATTTTGGGGTAGGTGCACCACCCATTTTAGAACCTATTTTAGTGGGGATTGGGATGTTCACTGGGGGTACGATTTGGGTTTTGACCCATGGCCATATATGGGCTCGGAGATCTGCCCTTTCAGTTTTTCAATAATCCCTTTTTTGTTTTGCCAGGTTTTGATTGGCACTCGCCTGTTTCGAAACTTCATGCTCGAAGCCGAGTCTTGTCTCTGACTGCTTGCCTGCAGAATCTTGGCCGCCCAAGAACCCCCTTGCAGGAGTTGGAGGTCAAGAAAAACGCTGTGGATGAGGTTAACGAGGACGGCAGCGCTTGGAAAATTGTCTTGATTGCAAATATCACCTTCGCAATATGTAGACCTTCAGCTGTGTCAAGTATAGCAACTTCATTCTTAGATTGAACCCACGCGTTGTCTTTTCTACTTGGAACAATTGTGGTCATAAAGCCACAAAGTATGCGAATTGCAGACAACATTTGTTTTTGTAAACAGCATCTTTTTGTTTGTTGAAACACGTATACGAATTCTAGCCCACGAGTGGTCTTTTTCAACGCTGCATCCACTGGAGCTACAATGAGTGGGTCACATGTTGGAGCTCCGCAGAACTGGGACGAGACCTGGGTGGAGGATGAGCGCGGATCCCAGCTGTGTGTCTGCGCGCTGGCTGGAACGGTGGGTGTGTCTTTTGCGGGAACCCCCAAAATGGTGGCTTTCCTTTGGGTTTCCCAATAACACCAACAGTACACATGTGGTACCCTCAAAAAAAGGCACACCCGCATAGCCCTTTCTTGTTCACAGTCTCTTCTCTGCTCAGTGGTAGCGTCAATGAGACTTGCCTGAAGCACAACTGCGCTTGTTTTTGCACAGCAGTCAGTTTCTTTGCATGCAGTACTACGTTGTGAAAACTGACTTCCCACACTGTTAACACTGCAGTAGGGGCCATGGGTAACCAGGTACTTTATTGGCACCGCTCCTCAAATAGCTGTTTTGTTTGTGTGTGTGCGCGAGTGCACAGGTTTGTTTAAAGGGAATCCAGAGGGAAAGCACCCAAATTTGGGTCCCTATTATAGTTGTCACATGCAAAAATCGCGCGAGAGACTCGGAAGATTCCTTGATGGGACTACAGACTACTCATCATTCTGTACATCCACAACTCTTTCATCGGACTCCCAGTGCGCTAGGGCAATCCACCCTTGCTTTTGTTTATGTTCTCCGTGGAGCTTGGTGTTTTGGGACAGAAAAACACATCATGTCCACCAAAGCGAGTCACGAGCCAGAACCTCATGGACCTGGTGATGGCCAAGCCCGGGCTATGAAGTGGTTGCTACGTCTTGTACAACAGTTGGGTTTCTTTGGTCCGGTCTCTCGAGGAACTGTTTTCCATATTTCAGACTGAACATTAAACATCATCAGAACATCTGACTTTCCTAGGGCGTTAGTTTTGTCCCATGGTTGTCAGCCCCACCTCCCCAAAGAGAACCCCCCCGATTGGGGGAAACCCTATTGGGGACAATTGACCATAGTCTCCCATTTGCTGACAAATATTCGTTCTTTTCCTCCTGGCTTCGAAGACATGTATCACTTGATTTTCAGATGTTCTTTTGCCCAGACGTATGTGCAAACGTGTTGGTCCTTGATTTGTGTTGCCCGTTGGTTCCCATGGCGCACCAGAAAGCCGTCCAGGTTCACCGCGGTGTCTCGGACCGTGTTCCTGATCTTCATGGCGGGGGGCATTGGCTCTGTGCGCCCGGCTCAGAGCTTTCGGCGGACTCAGAGTGCGTTTGTCAAGCCATCTCAAAAATGGTTACGTGGTACAGACTCATCCATGCCTGCAAAAGTCATGCCTGAAAAATAAGGGATCCCTGTTTAGTTGGTAATTAAAGGGAAACCACCATTTGGAGACGGAATCCGAGTTTGCGAATGGGTTTGTCTCAAAATGGGGCAAATGGGACCCCAAATGGTGGGTTGTTCCTTTGGATTCCCGGTGCCTTCAAAAAAGTCGCTCCCAAGCCAATGAGTGTATGCCAAAACAGGCGGCCCTAGAAAATGGGAACGGTTTCCTCTTTATTATTTTAAAGGGCAGGGCTCCGGTGTCACAGAGGTCCGAGTGTTTTCAAACCTAGGGAGCCCTAAAAACCGCTAAGGGCCTTACAACACTTTAAGGGTTGTTTGTTCCTTCGGTTTCCCTGTAAAACCCGACAACAGGGGGTCCTCTTTGGCAATACCCGCCCAAAACCTGTTTTCATAAAGGTGCTAGTCAGGCCTGTATCAACCTAAGCATGCTGGTAGAGCAAGCAGTCACGCCACCAGTCAGATTCGATTCCTACAAATGGCTTTCTGGGATCGTGTTAGCTTGCAGGGAAGGCCAGGCCTTGTCTCGTCAAAGGGATGTGCCACCCCCCGATTCATCGTGGCTATCTTGGCTTCCCGCTCGGGGGGTGGCTTCCCTTCCACGGTTTCCCCGTAAGACTCGCTGAGGATTTGGTGGTTTGGCTTTGACCACGAGTAGAAGCCGGCCGAAGTCATCCGGCGACGAGTGCTGCGGATGCGCTCGTTCGCAGGTTCGCCGGACAAGCATTTGTTTGATGTAGATCCACGGAGCCATTTGGATATGTTTTTGAGGTTGGTTTGCAGGGAAACCAAAGGGAAGCCAAAGCCAGTTGAAGGCTCCCCCTATTTTGACACACACAGACACTCGTATTTCATGCGTCAACGCCAGCTTTGCTTCCCCCGGCAGCGAGTGAACGAGAGCTCACATGCCTTCCTGCGGAGGGGGGGGGTTTTCCAGTGGTTGCCGCCCTGGCTCATTGGCATTAAAGTAAGTGTTGGTGCGTGTGTGCTAGGTGCCATTTTCAGGTTGGCTTGAAATGTGAAACCAAAAGGAAGGCCTTTTTCAAGCCGTTTCGGGGGTCCAAATCCCGATTTTCACTGGTTCCACTTGGAGATGTGACATCCATTTGGTCAGTTGGAGATGTGAATCAGATTGCCATTTTGAGTTCTTTCTGGCGTTCTCCTTCCCGAAAGGATACAAATTGGCGCCAAGCCTCGAACTTTTAACGGCTGTTTTGAAGGACCCCTTTGCAACTGAGATGATTTGGCGATGTTATAACCCAGTTGTAATAAATTCAATGATGCTGTTTTGTTTCCACATATAGGGTTTCTCGACAGATGCCAAAACCGGTACATTCCTATCTTCACATGCTTGCCATCGCGTGGATTCATTGTGCTGACGCAAGGCTCCGGCTGTCATTGCACATTGTCAGGGGTTGTATTGCAACGCCCAATCGGGAATTCCTCGCGATTGAAACGGCCAAAGTTGTGATGTGGTGTTACTCATTGGGTGGTTTGTGTCTTAGAACAAAATGATTGGTTTGCTTTTGGTTTCCCTGTATACCAACCCCAAAGGGTACTCTCAAAAAGAGGCACACCCATTCAAATGGGCTGGCTCACCCTTGGCATCGGTAGGCTGAGGCGAGGCAAACCAATCCCAGCTAAAGACTTCGAGCAGGGTTGCTATCCCGACCTGTGCCAAAGGCTGCATGGTTTCGCGTGAAAAGAAGCGCCGCGCAGCTGATGTGCGGACACAGGCACACGCACATCAGAGACACGCACAGATATGTTTCTTCTATATATGTTTGTACAACATATTATGTATGATATATATAGATATATACACATGTATATATTACATATACATATAATTATCTATATATATATACATATTGTATTTGTATATACACCTTTATTCTGTTACAGGTTGTTGTTATGAAGCTTAAGGATGACTTCCGGCCTTCAAGCGGGACTTTGGTCTGAGGCTGGGCCTGGTCCCAGAGCTGCCCGTGCTGCTCAGCCTGGCATCGGCCTTGGTTTGCGAATAGATTAATAGGGGGGTGTTCCCTTTTAAAATCTTAGTGGGGATTCAGACCACTTTTGGAGATGGGTGTGGGTCAAAATTTAACCACCAGGATATGGACCGCAGGTTTTAGTCCTTGGTTCCAGGGCAAGCCATTTTAGGGTTACCCCATTTTTGACGGAGGGCCATTTTTTTAGTTTTCTTTTCCTCCCCGTTTTTTACAGGATGTTTTTTTGTTTTTCAGGGTGGGTGGCTTTTCGGCTTTTTGGCTTTTGCGGCTTTTACGTGGGTTTTTGTGGCTTTCATTTCGCATCCTCTGCATTCACAGTTCCTCTCTTTTCGCATCCTCTGCATTGCCAGTTCCGCTGCTCCAGCTTTGTGGCTTTTGGCGGCTTTCTGGCTTTGGCTTTTCGCATCGACCCATTTTTGACCCACAGCCATTTGCTTATGCCGTCTATGCGATAACGATAGGATGTACATGGAGGTGAACTAATTAAGGGCATTCGAGTAATGTTTGGACAACATATTGGGGACCCCGGTGGCCCCAGGTGGCTTTGGTTTGGTGTTTCGGATGATTTGAGGTGGGTCAAAAGACATATGGTGATTTTTGCAAACGTGTGAGGTAAAGATGGATTTTTGTAGCTGCAAAGTGCATCAAAGGAGTACCATACATGGTTTTGACAAGAGACATAGAGCACAAGGCCTGCCAAGAGGATTTGTTTGATGGCCGTGACCCACATTTGGGTAGAGTTTTCACCCCGCAACCATGGCGGCGCACCCCCAGGTCTTCGGCTCTGCCCACGACTCCGTCACGCTCTCAGAAGCCAACATATAAACCGGTTTGGGGGTGGGAACGAGGAGTTCGCTTGAAAGGTGGGAGCGTTTTCGGGAGGGGGGGGAGGGACATGAGGGTTGGTCAAAGATGTTCGGATTTGTTTGTGGTTCATTTGGGGTCCGGTACATGGCGGAACCTTAAACAAAGCGGTTCATTTGTGTTCAACCACATTTTGTTCTTTTGAACTATATATTTGAACTATGGCAAATTGTTGCTTGCACTATGAATTTCAATCGCAAAAGCTGTCCGCCATCTCCTCTTGGGTGAACCTTCGTAATTTTCCCTGTGCCTCGTGTGTGCATATTTATGTGCCGTTGGCAACATTGGCAATGGTGGGGTTTCTGGCGGTCGGGCGTAGAGACATGAGGAATCCAAGAGGCTGCCAAAATGGCTGCTAGATGGCTCCTAAAGCTTGACTGGAAGTCGGCCTTTCTTTGCATTTCTGTAGTGGTTGATATGGGGGGGGGTTTAGCTGATAGAGGTAGTTTGATGTTTCTCTTAGTTTGCAGCTTTCAAGCTTTCGTCTACTCAGTTTACAGCAGCTTGATGAGATCCAGCAAGATGATCGACTGATGGCCGAATCACAGAGATGGGTATGGGTCAAAATTCAACTACCAGGGGACCGCAGGTTTTAGTCCATGATTCCATTTACCAGAGTTCCATTTTGGGTACCTATTTTTGACCCACAGCCAGATGCTAGCAAGCTCAACCCTCAAGAACGGACTGGCACAGGGCTACCGTGTCAGATATTGCTGAAGATTGGCTCGCGGAGACTTGCGGGCCAACGTGAGTGTGCCAAACAGCATACCTGGAAAAACAATCTCCTGTTGAGGCAACTCCCTGTCAGGAGCCGTGTTTGTGGGAGGGAGAGTATGTAGCTTGGTCAAGTCACCCTTCCGCTCGGGGTTGGATGGTCGTTGGCCCCAATATGCAAACTATGGCCTGCAGCTTGTGAGTTTGGACACTGGCACATCCGGGCCGTCTTGTTTTGAGGGTACCCTTTGTGGGGTGCGGCTGTCTCGAAGGAAAACCACGCAGAAACCGGTCTTTTTCGTGGTCCCGGTTGATCAATATTCCCTTTGGGGGCCATGACCATGGGCAACTTTGACAGTATGTGGTTGAAGTTGCAATTAAAAAAACACATTTGGTGGGTTTCTGTTTCCAATGGTCATTCCATGTTTATATTCGACCTATTGATCATCCCCATGTCTAGACCCCTTGTTGTAGCTTTTAGTTGTAGCTTTTAAAAGCAAAGCAGCTGTGGGGAAGTCAACAAAAAAAAAAAACATCCCGGCAAACCCGTGTGGTTGAGGTGTCACGTCTTTTTGTGGTTTTCCAACCAATGGTCATCCCATGCGTATATCGGACCTTTTGATCAACCCACATACTGGTTTCTTCAACATCCGTGTGGATTTTTGCTTGATGAGTCTTTCTGCAGGTGGACTTGCGGCAAGCAAAGGCCCGCTTTGACCAGGCGGACTCAGCCAGGCGTTTGGGTGAGGAGTCGCCGATGGCCGAGCGAGAAGACCAGCACCATCATGCAAGCACCATCATGCATATGTATATATATATATGTATAGAATTGTAGGTGTATGCTATATATATACACATGTTTATATGAAAAACTGTATACATATATACATATATGCGTACATTTTTGAGGTGACCCTTTTCACCCTTTGGAGAAACAACCCTTTGGAGAAACATCCGAAGGCAAAATACGGTTTCCTTTAGGTTTCCATATAAAAACAAAAGCCGAAAGGAGTCCCTCATGTTGAGAAACACCCATCTGGTCGACGTTAGTCGAGTGATTTGGAGGTGCGTCAAGGTTGCGACCCGCTTTCAATGGCCGATGGACTGTGGGTTTCATCTAACCAAGCGCCGATGTGCTTGTTCGGCATTCGCAAGGAAGAAAGGGGTGCGTCTTTTCTTGGAATGTACCTTTTTTTTGGTGTGTCTTAAAGGGACGCCCAAAGGAAACAAGCCTTTTTTGGGTGGGCCCGCTGCAAAAAGAACTACCCACTGTCTCCCCAACTTTCGCCTTTCCCCTTGGCTTCCCACGGAACCGCCTCGCAGGCTCGCGCCGAAAAGCCACGGCACGGCGGCCCTGCTGCAACTCTTGCAGGAGACTCAGAAGCTCAAGGGGGTTTGGATACTTACCTCTAGGTCCCCCAGTAATGCCCTTCTCTCCCCTTTTTTGGGGGGAGGGTCTTGCTTCTAAAATAGACTACAGAAAAAGAAAAAACAAGTACCCTGATTATCTAACCTCTCTACTGGGGGCTAGTGCCTTGTAGCTGATTAAATATATTTCCTTACACAAGGCTAAAGTTGGTTCATGGGCTGATTCAATTGGAATGTTGTTTCTTTGTCTAAAAAACGGTGAAGCCCTTTTTGGGATCTTTTTAAATGGAAACCAAGAAGGGACCCCACCATTTTTAGGGGTCCCTATTTTGAGACATGCTTGGATCCTCACACCAGAAATCAAGGGTACTATCGCCCGTTGCTGCTTGTTTCCCCTGATGTTTGAGTTGCGGATGAAATCACCGGGCATGGATAGCCCCTTTTTGGCCGAAGAAGGAAATTAGCCTGCAGTTAGTTGAGTGGGTTATGAGCCCAACGTTTTTCCTGTAGGCCCTCCTAAGGGCACGCCATGGCATCCTCGGCTGGGTCGGCGCAGACCGCTGACTCGCCGGAAACGGCGATGGTGCCGTGGCAGCCAAGCCGCGAGGACGCGGTGCCGCTGGGGCCGGCGGTGGATGTGAATCCTGTTTGGTCTGAGAAGGCCAAGGAGGAGGCGCAGCTCAAGGCGCTTCGCCCGAAG